GGCTTGGCATTGCCCACGGGTTTCAGGGTCTCGGCGGGCTTGGCATTGCCCACGGGTTTCAGGGTCTCGGCTGGCTTGGCATTGCCCACGGGTTTCAGGGTCTCGGCCGGCTTGGCATTGCTCACAGGTTTCAAGGTCTCTGCAGGCTTGGCATTGACCACAGGTTTCAGGGACCCTGCAGGCTGTGCGTTGCTCACGGGCTGGGGACTTTCCACTGCCTTGGCACTCGAGGACTCGGCACTGCTGCTGCCATTCTCTGCTGGTAATTTCTTCTTGCTGCCCAGCACCGAGCGAAAGTCAGGTGTGGCAGGTTTTGGAGGTGGTGCCTTCTCAGGCACGGGGGTCTTAGGAGTCCCCTTCTTGGCCAGGACAGAGCGGAAGTCAACCTGCTGGGGGCTGTGCACCTTCCTCTCTTCCTCGGACAGAGTCTTTGGCTTCACCTGCCGCTGCAAGTTGGCGCGGAAATCCATCTGCTCAGCTGGGATCTCCTTCAGGTCTTCTTCCGACAGAGTCTTGGTGCTCACCTTCTTCCCCAGGAGGTCGCGGAAATCCAGCTGCTCCACCTCCTGCTGGCGGATGGCCTCCTCTGTGTGCAGCCGGGTCTCCACACGCCTCTTCAGCAGCTCCCGCACGTCCTCACAGTCTTCCTCCTCTGGGCAATCCTGCCCTTTCCCAGGCCAGTCTGGCCTCAGGGTCCCATCACGGTCGCCACCACCATCAGCACCAGCTCCTCTACCACAGAGGCCCTCACAGCTGGCAGGCTCCTGCCCCCTGCAACCAGTGAAGGGAAAAAGAAAAGTAGCAGGAGGAAAAGGGGCCGGGAGAGCCAGAGACGTCAGGGGAGAGCAAATCCCCGAGGGCGGAGGGTAGAGAGGAGGGGGAAGGGGAGGTGGGGGCCAGCCAGGCTGTGTTTATAGAAGGGAACATTGGTGAGAGGCACTCGCTCGCTTAGTTGGTTTATTACATCGGTAATGACTTCAGTAGCCTTATAAGGGTGTGTGCAAAAAAAAAAAAAAATCGCCCCCTCCTTTCCTCTGCCCTCCCTCTCTCATTCCCTTCCAATCTCTCCCTTTGGTTCTGGCAGCCTCAGCTGGAGGATGCAAACAGTGTGCGGCTGCTGGGCCGGGGCTGCTAGGCCCAGGAGGAAGGTGCCGGTGGTGCCCGGGGCCTGGCCTGAGACTGCTGGGGCACTCACCGTGGGGATTCTTCGGCAGGGCTGTTCTGTAGCATCAGTGACACTTGGCAACTGCATTCGCCAACCTTGTTCCTAAAGAATTCAAGGGACCAATAAGGATCAAGAGGCTCCCTGGGCAAAGGGCCCTCTCAGCCCAGGGCCATGAGGGGCACAAGGCAAGCATGAACTCGGTCGAGGGTTGGCTGCCCACCAGGGAAGATGGAGATCACAGGCTTAGCTGTGCTATCCATTCCAGACTTAGATTTAGGTCAGAGCTCCCTTATCCTGAGGTCACCCTGTGTTTTTCCCAGTTCTTATTTTAAAAAGAAGAGAAGGGAAGTTTCTGGAGAGCAGCTAAGATAGGCACCTAGATACCTACCTTTCTGGAAACATATTATATAATATCACCAATCAATCAATATAATTGGGGGAATAAAGGCTGGCCCTGCTGGGGACTGCAATGGAGCTACTCGGTCCAGACAGATAGGCCCGGCTTAGCCTGCCCTGTGACTGCAGTCTGACTCCATGCTCCCCCAAAACAGCAGTACCTATTTCCCCAGCTGCTACTTCCCCTCCCCCACTCTATAATGAACCCCTTCACCCCACCAGTCTCTACTCATCAGCCAATAGCCTGAGACTAGAATTTTTTGGGTTAAAACAAAACAAGCATCTCCCTCCATGGGTGGCCCTTTTTCTTCCTCCTTCAGGTGAGGAAGGCTACAGGCGTCTTCACATCCACAGAACTGTTCAGGCCCCATGGTGCAGGGCCAGCTGAGGGAAGGGGGCTGAACTACAGCGCCCTCAGGGTGGATTTACCACAGATGGTCCCTCTGGCCCCACAAGGCTGCCCTCTGCTGGCATTTCTGAGCCTTGACCAATTGGGTGGGGTGTGTGGGAGCCAAAGGGACTGCAGGAACCCAAGGACTGTGTTTCACAATCAGGTTCTGGTGTCTTCCATACCCTTTGTCTTTTTGGTTCTCTACAACATGCCAGAGAGGCAAAGACCACAACTTTGCCCATTTTAAGGGACAGGAAAGGAGACTCAGGAGTTTACACAAGACAGTGCTGGGACTCCGGGGGTCCCACTCAGTTCCCTGAATGCACCCATCTTATTAGTACCGCAGGGGGCAAGTGTGGCCCAGACCCCAGGACAGACTTGCCAAGCTCTGTGACAGGTTCCTTGTGAAATCCATCTCATTTAAACTTAGGAAAGATTGTGTCAGCATGTCTTTTTAGGGAAGGGAAAGGAATCTTATAAAGATGGAGGAATCTGCCTAAACTCCCAGAGCTAACTAGTGGGGAGCGGGACTGGGAACTGGGTCTACCTGAATCTAAGACTCCGACTGCACCCTTATCTCTCAGTATGGATCTGTTCTGGGATATGTGTGAGTCTCTGTGCACATTTATGTATCAATCACAAGCATCTGTGGGGTCCACCCAGGAGGCACCAGATCTGAGATGGGAATACAGGCACATGGCTAGTGTAAGCACAGGAATTGGCATCTGAGCATGTGCCTGTGTGTATCCTGTTACTGTGGTTGCTTCTCTGTGCCTGGCCTGCCTCCCAGGGGACAGACACTAGTAGCCCATGGGAGCTCAGTGTTGCATCTCCCCCTTAGCACTGAGACCCATGTGAAGCAAGGTGGATCTTTGCTACTTTCCAACCTGCCTCTTGCCTGTCAGTGTCCCCTAATTGTCCTTCTGCATGGCGCCCCTGGCTGTGCCAATGCAGATATCCTCCTGAGATCTCAGCCCTTTGCTCCTCTCTCCTCCCCTGTCCTTTCCTTAAGGCTCTGACTCTCAGAGGACCCTGACTTAAGGCCTCATGCCTGGAGAGCTTCAGGGCCTAGGATGCTCTTTTGCTCCACAGCCTTGTCAGTCCCAGGCCCTGGGAAGATTAAGGGCCTGCAGAGTATCCTGAGCTCCCAATGGTCACAAAAGCTCGGGCACTTATAGAACAACCACTCAAGGGCATACTGGTATTGAGGCTCAGTCCCTAACACCCCACTTCTACTAGGCTGCTGGCCAGCCTTAGGCCATCTTTCCCCAGTCTTCTTCCAAGCCAGTGTTGTGGTACCCAGGGTTGGCATGAAGCAGAACGACAAGATGCCCAAGGGCTGTGTTTACCCAGTAGCCCTTTTCGGCACATCTTCAGTTGAGTTTCCTCCTGTCACAAGTAGAACATAGCCCAGATGCAGAAATCAGGAGCAGATGCTGACCAGATGGCCCTACTTTACCCTGGCCACACCACTTGAGGTTTTAACTGGTGGGAAACCTTGTTCCCTGAGCTGGAGTAAGCCTTATCTTCCATTGGGGGAAGGAGTTAAGGGCTTCTGTCATTTGCCATGATCTGTCCTGAATGTGAAGAGCATGGGCACAGATAAGTCTCTCAAAGCCTTCTGCTCAATCCATCCCAGGCCTCACCCTGAGGTACGGGGGCCACAGAACAGGGATATTAAGGCTATACACTAGGGCAACTATTCCTACAGACAAAAACTTATATCTCCACTGGGCCTTTAAGACAAATTATGTGTTCATTTGGAGCCTACATAGGTCAGAAGGCCTCTTGCCTTGGGCCCACATTCCTGGTAACCTAATCAGCTGGAACAGCCTCTTAAGGCCATCTTCAACATTTTCACACATCTGGCTACAAGCTCAGGTCTGGGGCTGAGGCTGAGGCCTGTCCTGGTGCTGCCACAGGGGACATGGGCTATCACCCTAAGAGCTGTACCTTCCACAAACTCACAGAGCCCTCTGCTCCTCCACTTCCCAAGCCCTGAACAAGAAGCCCACTTTCTAGTTGTGAAGTCTTGGACTCCAACCTGCCCTGAATCATCCTCTGGGATGATTTTATACACAAAATTAGTTTAAAGAACCAATTTTCTGGCAAGTGTCAATTTTTCAAACATGTCAGCTGGAATTTGGAGCTGACTTTTGGCTATTTTCCCTTTCTGTATAGAAAGCTAGGGAAGGGAAGGGGAGGTAGAAATGCACCCATACATGCCTCAGGACTTTAGCAGGGACAGACAGAACTGCCTTTCCTGCCTCCATACCTCAGGTTTCCTCCCAGACATCCAGCTTCCTCCATGAAAGGCATTACTCCCTGATCTAGGTCTGCTTTCCATTGGGACAAGGCAAGTGGGAAATAAAGGCGGCCCCTGGCAGGCCTGGAACATGCTCCCCAGCAGAACTTTCCACTGACTTGCTCCATCTTAGCTGGGGACAAAGCCAAGGTCAGGGCAACAGCCTCCCATAGGAATGGAGAGGCCAGACTGTGGGGAGGGGAAAGAGGCAAGGGCTGCAAAGATAGAGATGCCACTTCCCAGGTCCCCCAGTTCCCAGTGCACTGGAGAGAAACTCCCCAAACTGGGTCATTAGAATAGAACAGTGTCTGATTTAAATCAAAAGACAAGGGCTCGAACTTGGGCTCTGCTCATGGCCTTTGAGTGGTCATAAGCAAGTCCATGACGGAGACCTCAGTTTTCCCAATTATTAAATGAGGAGGAGGTTAGACAGCATTTGAAATCCCTTTCAGCTGAGGACAGTCTACATTTTATGACTGTCCTCAGCTGGCCCCAGACAGTCTGCTTGCCGACCTCCCAAAGTAACCCTCCTCTCTGGGCTGGTAGACTTCCCATAGCCCTTTGCTTTTGCTCTGCTCTCCCTTCCCACCCTCGACCCTCTTCTGCTCAGTCTATTCAACAGTCAACCCCTTCTCATTGAACATCGGCTTTTCTTTTTCCTCTAAATACCACAGAAAGTCCGTCTCCTCTAAGATGTCTGGCTTGTGTAACATGAATATTGTCTACTCCTCCATACAGACAGCTCGTCAGCAAGCATTTTTCAATCGAATCAGTTTTCATCCTTTATACTGGTCTAGGGAGTAAGAGTGGGGTCTCCTCACGTGGAAGCAGATTTTCTCTCTTGGTAACAACAAAGCAAAAGGCAGTTGATGTTTCCTGAGCACACTGCTGATGGTAGAAGGGTGACCAGCAGCCCACAACCAGGTCATTGAGCTTAGCTGGCATCCACTGAGTCTTGCCCAGATCAGCAGATCTCCCCAGCAAACTCAAAGACTCCTAAGGGATAATAAATAGTTTTTAAAAAATGATTATTTTTAAAAATGCCAGTAAGTATTGGGATGGTTTGTTATCCAGTAAGAGCCAACTGATACAAGGATAAAGCATGTGCCCAGAAGGACCCAAGGGGATGGGATGCATACTGAGATTTTTTCAATTATTGTAGGCACCATTCCCATTATGGCAGTAGCCTTGACATATAGTCTATTTATAGTTCAGAGCCTTGAGCACGATGGGCTGAGAATGGAGACATGAAAAAGTCCAGGAGAGAAAGCTCCTTGCAAAGTGGCCAGGCACCTAAGCCCGGGCATATCTAACCATCCTCAGGACATGGCACAACCTCCCGTCTTCAGGTCAAGGTGTGGACAAGCATTCGTCAATGCTTACACCAACCCAGGCATGGAATTTTAAGATTTGGAGAATTTTAAAGGTAAAAGAACATTTGACAAATGACTACCAAATGCTTATTATGGGACAGATACTTTTCTAGGTGTGGGGACACTGTGGTGTGCCTTCATGGTGCTTACCTTCCCCTGTAATCTAGCAAGATCTCAAAAAGGTAAGAAAAGAGGAATGGGGAAAGGTAATCTCCCTGCACTGGTTTAAAAAATGTCTCCATCTTCTCTGAAACTCCTCTCTCCAATAGGCAGAACTTAATTCTCCTCCTCTTGAGCATGGCTGTACTCTGTGACTCACTTCTAACAGCCAGAATGTCAGAAGTGATGGTGTGTGACTTCCCAGGGCAGGTCATAAATGACATTGCAGGTTTAGACTTGTGCTCTCTTGGGCCACTATCTCTGGGAAAGCCAGCTGTCGTGTCATGAAGACCCTCAAGCAGGCCTGTGGAGAGATCATGGGGCAAGGAGCCAAGGCCTCTTGCCAAGTCACCTTTGAAGCAGAACCGCCAGTCTCAGTCCAGCCTTCAGAGACCTTAGCTCCTCTGACAACTCAACGACAATTTAACAAAAGAAAAACCATCCAGCTAATAAGCTGCTTCCAAATTCCCAACTGCTATGGTTTGGATATGGTTTCAGTGTGCCCCTCAAGGGCTCATGTGTTGAAATTCAATCTCCACTGTGAGGTATTAAAGAGGGTGGAAACTTAATCCAACCATGGTGTTTAGCGTGAGACTTTGGGCGATTAAGATTAGATAAAGTCATGGAGGTGGGGCAAGAATGAATACTGGTGGCCACATAAGAAGAGAAAAAGAGAGACAGAGAGACAGAGAAGGACAGAGACACAGATACTAGGACACAAGTGTGCTCCCTCTTTCTTGTCATGTAATGCTTTGTCCCACCCTGGGACTCTGCCAGCAAGAAGGTCATTACCAGGTGCAGCACCCAGTCTTGAACTTCCAGAACTATAAGCTAAATCAACCTCTTTTCTTTATAAAGTTACCCAGTCTTCTCAGGTATTTCATTATCCTAATGGAAAACAGACTAACACACTAGATCACAGAAATGTGTGATAATAAATGTTTGGTTTCAAGCTGCTAAATATGGGGGTATTTTGTTACACAGCAATAGGTTACAAATGCATTCTCTCTATCCCCCTGTTTCCACCTTTAATCCTTTACTCCCTCCTTCTTATCTTCCATATACCACATGACATGCAAAATCCAGAATGTAATATGACAGAGACTTCTGAGGAACTGTGCTCAGAAGGAAAGGTTCTTCGTGAGAATCTATTCTACTCTAGTGTAACAATCAATTTGCCAGCTTCACCAAGCTTGTACTTGCTTTACCTAGAAATCCAACCCCCACATAAGCTTGTGCTTCCTCTGGCTGCCCAATCTCAGGATAAGGGAGCCAGGAATCTTGGGGGAAGGAGATAAGGGAGGCGGCAGGACATGCAGACTCACTTGAGCAGGATCTCATACTGGCCAGCATGCCAGGGCTGCACGTTCTTTAGAACCAGGGTGAACACATCCTCGTTCTGCAGTACTTCAAAATGGACAGTGTGTCTGGAGAGGGCTCTGCCGTCTCGGAGCCAGTGCACAGTAGGAAAGGGGTCACCAGCTATGGCACAGGAGATGAGGACACTCTGGCCCAGGGAGGCCGTCACCGAGCGAGGCTTGCTGATGAACCAGGGCTGGGTGCCATCATGAGGCTCTGGAAGATGGCAAAGGGTAAAGTGAGAGAGGAAGGCCCTGCAGCACAGGCATACACCATGTCCTCCCTAGTGGCGGAGTGGGAAGACAGCGTGTTACTCAAAGAACGCAACAGCTATTCCAGAAATCATCTCTACAGACATACAAACACAACACACCTTTTTCTTGCGTATCATTCCTGATTATGTTCTTAGAGGAAGCTTTAAGATGAATACTCCCAAAGCAAGGGGAGAGCCCAGAATGAGCGGGCATTGGGCTGGGTGCTGAAGATCTGCATGAGATGTGTCTGATCAGCAGCTGATCCTTGCAGTCTGTGTGCTTTACTTGCCTTTCCTCTTACATACGTGCTCTCTAAGGGCAGGGACCAGTATGCCCATAACCTGCCTCCAAAGTTCTCCTTGCCAAATTAAGTGTATTGTAGGCTTTTCTCTTAGCACTCTATTAGCTTGTCAGCAGTAGCCCAGAGAGGGCAGGGACTTTAGAAGGCTTGTAGGGTGGGGCGGCGTGCTGCCCTCTCAGCCAGAGATTGAGGTGGAAGATAGGGAGCTGCCTCTGGGGCTGGGATGGGACCTGCAGTCTGCTCATCTCCATATTGCTTTGGGAAAGGCCAGGCCCGTACCCCCATCCCCCAGAACAGTTAAGCCTCACCTTGCACTGTGAGTACAGCCTGAGTGCGGACCTCCCCGGAGCTGTTCCAGGCCTCGCAGGTGTATGTACCTGTGTCCTCTGGAAACACTTCCTGGATGCAAAGGCTGTGTTGAGTGCCTTTCTGTTCAAAGTGGAAGTCCTCAGACTCCTGGATCTCAGTCCCATTGTGCAGCCAGATGACCTCTGGGGGTGGATTCCCTGAAGTGAGAGGAGGGGTGAGGAACTAGTTAGGGCACGACTTCCTTGGTCAGGTAGCAACTGTGCACTTGACACTGTAATATATATAATTGGTTTTTTTTTGTTTTGTTTTGTTTTTTGTACCCAGGATTGAACCCAGGGGTGCTTAACCACTGAGCCACATCCCCAGCCCGTTTTTGTAATTTATTAGAGACAGTGTCTCGAAGTGTTGCTTAGGCCCTCACTCCAGCCTCAGGCATGTGCCACCACACTCAGCTAATACTATAATATCTTATTAAATATTCTACCAAACTCTTTGCACCTTCAGTTTTCCCATCTGAAAAATAGGTATTCTAATAGCATCTATCTTGTAGGTTTGTCAGGAAGTACACATGAATGAATCAAACCTCCTTTAGCTGCCCATTAGAATAAGATCTAACACAAAGAAAATACCAAATGTATACTCATTGTGATTATTAAACAACAGATTTGGGGAAACCAGAAAGAACTGAAGTGAAAATATGATTTTGGAGATGAAAAACGAAAACCCAGGAAGAATGGTTCTTAAAATTAGAATTCAAATAGCTTTATGATACTAAGTAGATCGCTGGGTTCAAACTGAATATGTTTTCTGCTCTGCACTCCCCACACAGGGTATCCGGTGCAAGTAATAGTGACTTCATGGTAATTTCCTTGCAGATTGTCACCAGAAGAAGAGTCCAATGAACATTTCATTTTTCTACCATACAAATATCCTAGGACACCAGCTTGCATAGGATTTTCAAACATGGCTCTTGGTGGACAGAACTGTCAGTTTTCACCAATCTATTTTTTCTGGAATTTTGGGAGGCATGAAACAATGGCCAATGGTGAGGATTTCCTCTGATGTAAGACCTGATTATAAAGCTCTGCTTTCAGAAGAGCAAAGTCCCTGAAATAGGCAGCTGGGGTATGCTGGGGGGCAATGGTCCCTGCAGAGGCTTAAGAGCAAGCAGATGACTATTTGTCTGCTGTGTGTCAGACATCACATGCCTGGAAGCCAGGTGTAAAGTGCCTCCAATCTCTTCCAACTGGAGGACTCTGTGAGTGGTATGGTACATATGGACAGGGGAGGGGACCCAGTTCTCTATCTTGGGGCTGTAACAGGATGGCCTCCAGCCTGTCGGAAAGGGAGATCATCTGAGCATCTCTACAAAGGTGAGCTCTTGGGATCTCTTACTTGTCATCTTTATTGCTTCTATAGTTCAAGAGGAACTAAAAATCCAGGGAAGTGACCTCCAAGCTGTCAGAGGCACTGATCAGGAACCAAGAACCATGAAGGCACTCAACAGTAACTATGGCTGCCCCCAGCCAGGAGCACTGAGCCAGAAGCTTCCCTGGGCTTCTTTTGCTCACACCTTGTCACAAGTTCCTGTTGCCCTGTCCCTGTTTTAGAACGACCTCTACTCTATCCTTTCACCTTAAAATTTGGAAAGAGCAACTGAGATCATCTTCTGAGAGTTGTACCAGGTTTTGCACCAGTCTTCGGAACTTTCCAACCACATTGGCCACACATGATTCAAATTAATCCCTCACCCCTCTGCGTCTGGCCACCATCTTCCCCAAATTCATTTAACTTTGAATTAGAAAATTCTACCTACAGAGGCAGAAAAGAAAAACCAAAAGGCCTTTTTTCTTTTGGTCCATTGTCTGGTGGCCCTATGCTGGTTTTCTGGTGGATCAATGTTCTGAGCAGGGTCTTGGGGAACAATACCTATACTGCAACCATGGCCCTTCTCACAGCATCCCAAGAAGAAAGACATAGAGACAGACCTGACACCTGAACTGTCATGGTGACCTGGCTTCCATCCATGACTTTGAGATCAGAGAGGCCTTGTAGGAAGATGGGCGCCACAGGCTGGTTGGGAGACAGAGGCAGAAGGCCACTCTTTCCGTCACTCTTCTTTTCTGTGTGGTAGACAACAGAACATCAAGTGAGCATTATTTCATTCATTCATTCATTCAGTCAGTCATTTAACAAAGAGACCAATTATCTATGCTGAGGCTCAGGTTCTAAGTGCTTCCAGAGTGTTTGGAGGTGCTGGAGATCTTACAGAGGAATCAGATGTGCCCCGTTTCTCTCCTTGACATGACAACACTCTTGCAAGAGAACAGGGAGTGAACAATGAGATCTCTGTAGAGCTACTCTTAAACCAGGCTCTGCTTCCTCAGGAAACCTCAAGGAGGAATCTAACACTTGGTATCTTATGAGGTTATTTTTTCTTAAATTTTGTTTACTTTTTTGAATAAATGATATAATCACATGGCCCAAAATTCAAAAGATATCAAAGAGTCTGTGTAAAGTCTTCCACCCATTCCTTGGCCAACCAAGCAACTCTCCCCAGAGGCCACCAATTTTCAGTTCCTGGTTCATTTTGCAAGAGATGATCTATGTATACAACATACACAAGCAAATAGATACATTCTTTTTCTTTTTCCTTTTTGTTTTTTTGGTGCTGGGGACTGAACCTCAGATCTCATACATGCTAAGCATGTCTTCTACCACTGAGCCAATTACCAACCCTATTTTATTCTTTTTTTAAGAAAATAAACTATAGGACTAGAAATGTAGCTCAGTAGTAGAGTGCTTACCTAGCATGTGTGAGGCCCTGGGTTTGACTCTAGCACAGTAATAACACATTCTTTAGAAAGGCTAGAATGACCAAGATTGACCATCCCATGATTGATATTGGCCAAGATGTGGAGCAGCATAGATCTCTCATACACTGCTGGTGGGAATGTAAATGGTACAGACCCATTAAAAATAGACTTGGCAGTTTCTTAAAAGGTTAAGCATATACTTCTCCTATAATCTGGTCATTCTGCTCCTGCATATTTAATCAAGAGAAATGAAATCACAAATCTTCACAAAGACTTATAGTCATAGCAGTTTGATTCACAATAACTCCAATGTGGAAAGGACCCAAATGCCCAAAACAGGCCAACAAATAAAGAACTATGATATACCCATCACAACAGAATAACACAGCCAAAAGGAATAAAGCACTGGGAGGCACCACAATGGGGATAAATCTCACCATCATTATGCTGAATGAAAGAAGCCAGACAAAGAAAGAGTACATATTGGATGAGTCCATTCATACAAAATTCTAGAAAATGCAAAGTTTAAGGATATAAAGCAGGGCTGGGGTTGTAGCTCAGTGGTAGAGTGCTTGCCTAACATGTGCTGGGTTCAATCCTCAGCACCATGTATAAATACATAAATCAATAAATTAAATGAAGGTACATTAGCAACTAAGAAAAAGGACAGAAAGCAGATCAGTGAGTACTTGGGGCAGGGGCTGTGAGGCTGGATTATAAAGGGCATGAGGAAATAAGTAATGGAGATATTCATTTTTTTAAAGTCACAGTGAAGGTTTCATGGAGGTAAATATTCAAAACTCATCAAATTAAATTCCTTAAATATATGCAGCTTACTATACATCAAAAATACCTCACAAAAATTTCCATCTGAGAGGGAGGGACAGCTAGTGAAGGGCCAAAACCAGAGTGACTTTCTGGGTATAACCAGGTTCATTCTTCCTCCAGGCTGACCTCACCCCTGTGTCTGAGGAGATAAGGTATTTGCTTACTTTGCAGGACGGCCCTGGTACAGGATGAGCCCTCAGATGCCCAGTGTCTATCTCCCCACTGGTTCTGTGAGCCAGAGGGTTTTGACTTTCAATAAGTCCATTTATGCTTTTGTTTTGTTTTTGGTTTTGGTTTTGGTGGGAGCAAAGCTATGGTTTGAACTTACCAAAACTTAGGTGCTCTACTACTGAGCTATATTTCCAGCCCATCATGTTAAAATTTGAATCTCATATTGGTGGTATTGGGAGGTGGGACCTCTGGGGGAATTAAATCATAGGGACACTGACCTCATGAATGGATTAACATATTTCTCAAGGGGCTAGGTAAGGTTCTCTTAATCTGGATTAGTTCCCACAGGAGTGAGTTGTCTCTCACAGGACTGAATTAGTTAGCAGGAGAGAAGACCTTTCTAAAGCAAGCCTGGAACCTCCCTCCATCTTTCTTACTGGTTTCTCCTTCCTGCTTTTTGGCTATTATATAAAGCAACACAAGGTCCTCACCAGAAGGGAATAGAGGCAGTGCCATGCTTTTAGATCTCCAGAACCAGGAGCCAAAGTAAATCTCAATTTTTTACAAGTTACCCGGCTTCCTCTGTTTTGTTATAGTAACAGAACACAAACTAATACAGCTAGAAGATCTCTAAAAATCCAAGACTTTAGGAGCAAGGCTTTGGGGCCACAAAAACCAGATTTTCTTCAGGAAGCCTAGAGCCCTGGGGACAGTTTCCAGTGTGCTTTCCCCACCTGGGCAAGACCTAACTCCAAACTTGCTACTGAATTTTTATCATCAGCCAATGAAAATGAACTCAGGCTATTGCAAAGCTCTGTGGGCCTAGCCTCTGGGCCTGTGGGAGGAGAGAGGCTGAAAGTTTCCCCCAGAGCGGGTGCTGGTGGGGGGGCAAGGAGCAGGAGGACAAGAGTGGCTGAGACAGGTGAGACCCATGCTCTCTGCTGACAAGTTGGGGCTCTCAGGAAACTGCTGCTTGCCCCATGCCTGCAACTCAGGCATCCATCTTTGACAGAGGGCAGCCAAGGGGCCTTGGCCAAAGATCCTGGGAGAGGGATTGGGGGCCCAGTATTGGAAATGCATAGATCTATCTTATTTCCCCTATTGGGCTGCAGTGGTGGGGAAAGCTGGCCGCCTCAGGAGAATTTAGGAATTTCCTGTCTTGAACAGACTGAGAAGGCTTGAGGACAAAATGTTTTTGCCTCTCTTGTACTCCCTGTTCCTGCCTCTCTGCCCAAGTCTGAGCCCGAGTCCCCAGCATCACAGAGCTCCCTGCAGATGGGCTTGAATTCCTGGGTGCTGCAGGAACATCCCAAACTCCTGCCTGCTTTCCTTCCAGCCAGTGGCAGTCTGCTGACTGCTCTGCCCAGTCCAGTGACCCTGCCCTCTCCTGGCTCTTCTCACTGCCTGTTTTCTGGCTGAGGGCTTCAGCAAAGCTAAGTCACCCTGTGGGCCTCAGCCACTGGGTTTAAAAACCTAATCTGCCTGCACCTTCCTGAGCCACCCCTGGAGATGAGAAGTGTGTGTGAGAAGGTGGCCTGGGAACTGCCTCTACATGTGTCACCTCAGGACTGGGTTCTTCCAAAGCTGGTATGTCCGCCTGCATCTATGGAGGGGAGAGATAGTGTGGTGCCGAAACCTAGGATGTGGTGCCAGATTCTGGCCTGGGCAAGTCCTGTCCTCTATCTGAAGTTGGCTTCCTTAACTGTCTCTGGGGATAGTATCCTCAGGGTTCCAGGGAGCTCTGGAGATGGTATGAGAAAATACCGTGTGCAACTACAGACGCCTCCTTGGCTTACATCCCATAAACTCATCAGAAGCTGAAAATATCCTAAGTTGAAAATGCATTCAATGCACTAAATTCTTGAGCATCCTAGCTTAGCAACACAGTCCATTGTGGAGCATCAGCTTTTCACGAACATGGGGCTTACAGGTACCTGCAGCCTGCTGCTGCTGCCCCAAATCTCAAGAGTATTATATTACATATCACTGGCCCAGATCCAAGTTCAAAATTTGCATCCTGAAGTGTGGTTTCTGCTGAAGGCACACTGCTTTCACATCATCATGAAGTTGAACCATCTTAAGTTGGGGACCACAAGCATTTGTTATTGGGGCATATGGAGCCTGGCATGAGAACCAACTCAAGCCCACCCACCTGGACTCAATTAGTTGCAGGGCTTATCAGCAGCAAAAGAACCAATCAGAGCCTGGGCCCTCACCCAAGGATTACTGACTCATTTTTATGTGACCTGAGGCAAGTACTGAGAGGAATACAAACGTGAAGCTTAAAAATACCCTGGGAGATAGCTCAAAGTAAACTGAGAACCAACTTTCACTGCATCTCCCTGGGAGACGAGTGAGAGTGACTTTGTGGGAAAGGACCCAGGCAGGCATTTAGAGCCAGGGTCACCACTGCCTCTGACCCTGCTCTTTCTTCCCCGAAGCCCTGAGGAAGAATGACACGACTGGGAGCAAATATTCAGAGTGGACCTGTTCCCTGTTCCCAGGCTGCAGGGTGGGGCTCCTGATTGTGTTGATTACCCCCAGCATGTGCAGGCTGAGTCAGCATGGTGTGGTGACCATGGATTCAGGATGGTGAATGGCTGCATCTTCCCGAACATTCAACAACAGGGTGAGAAAACCAGCCAGCTCCCTCCACTCCCGGCACTGGGATTAAGGAGCCAGGGAGAATATTGGGTTCTAGGCAAGTGGCTTCCTTCATGCAGCCTGAGAAAAGCCCTACCAGACTTCTAGAACTCCAGTCCCAGCCCCATCACCCTATTTCATTGGTAGTGAGACCAGAACATGCTTAGGGGAAGTGATATGTCCAGAGCCAGTACAGGTAGACCTAGAGCTCACAGCCAGGCCTTCTGATGACAAGGGATATCTCTAAAGGGAACCAGCCTTCCCCAGTGACCCACAGTGAGCACTCACAGTGCCATCGAGGACAAATGCACCATCAGTGGCCCACACGCTAGGCTCTTGACAACCAAGAAAAACAAAGCAGAGCAGAGCAAAGCCAGGCAAAAAGGGCAACGTGTGTGTATATTCCATTTCATTCCAAAGCCAAACAAATCATCCCGGCTCATGTGTGGCCCATAGGCTCTGCATCAGTTTATGCTCACTCTTTCGTGGACTTCATCAAATGAGAAGAGACAGATGGAGACTGGCATTCTTAACTCCTGGCCCTAGCCGTGTGAGCTGCAGCAAGTCCCCCCCCGCCCCAGGCCTCAGTGTCCTGTGGTCTAAATTGATCATGTGGTTATCATCAATTACCAATGACAGTGCAATGCTGATAAACGTAATGCATG